TGGAACAACCCATTGCACTTCTGGGATTTGTCTTTAGGCTTCTGAACCAACCTTATGCCTTCAGAATTTTTCCAGGGCTGACCGAAGGGCAGCAGTGATCATAAAATTCCCAGACTATAGTGATATGGGCACTGTGGAAGTTTCCTGAGGTCCACGTTGTATTGGAATCAATGCTGTTGCTTCTCCTACACTAGACACTCTCAGATGTGAAGAGAGGGCAGAAAATGTGCAAGCAAGTGCAGTTCCCCCGACCTGCACCATATGCTTCCCTCTTCGCACTGTGCCTATGCTCCCTGCCTCTCGGAGCAGCAGGAGTCAGTCCCAAGGTTGGAATGGCCTTGAGGAAGGAGAGAGTTGACAGTCCCAGAAGAGGGAAAAGTGGCATTTCTGGAGCTATAGGATTGATTTTCTGCTGAAATCCCCAAGAGTGACTGAATCTACAGATCTCCTTCCAGGAATTCGCAGACTCTAGGGAGACAATAAGAAAGCAACTGAAACTGTTTTTGAAAAGTTTTCCAAAGTTAGTGAATCCACACAAGGCCCCATTGGCTTTGATATTTGCTGGACTGGAGGGAGGGAAAATGTGAAATGTAATCATGTGACTTGGTTGGGAGCTTTGGCCAAAACCTGGTTTGCTCTGAATTGAGACGAAAGAAGCAGAATTTCCTCTGAGGGCCCTGGTGCTGACTTTGAGTTGGATTTCTTTTAGAAGACTGTGCAGAGTGTAGTGAAGGAAAACAGTTGCCTGTTATACTTGTGCAGTGGGATTATAGATCCTTTTCCTCTAATAATCTTCAAAAAATGACTCAGGAAGCTTGAACTTTAAAGGGATAAGAAGCTCCCCGAGCTAAAGGGACTCAGTTGATTCTGGGTCTTAGAGCAAGCACTGCCATTTGTGCCTTGGCTTGTACCTCAGGTTGGAGTACCCAGAAGCAAACCCTGAGGGATTCATTTAAGGAGCATCCCCTGGGTGATTAGGAAGCAGAAAGGAAGGATGCTAGGCCGGGCTTAACATCAAGCAAAGCCCCAGGGTGGAAACATTGAGATGTGACTTACACTGTCCCCAGGTCTTCCTTTGGACAGTCACTGTTGCCCTGGTCAGGGGCCAGTGAGGCTGGAGCATTTATATGCTTCTTCCTGCCCTGTCATTCACTGGTTAAGGGCTCTCCTTTATAGAGGGAAGCTAATTCCCATCAACGCTTTCTTAAAGTAGTTTCTGGGCTCTGAGGGAAGCCCCTGACACAGAAACACAGGTGCTGCTTGGCACACCTAGAACTGAGTCCCATAGCACCTAGAACTGCTTGGCACACCTAGAACTGCACCCCCATGGACCTAAGATGGACTGAGTTGTGTCCCCTGCCCCCTGCCCCCCATTCATATGTTAAAGTCCTAATTCCCATTCTGGCTATATATGGAGATGGGACTTTTCAGAGGCAACTAAGACTAAATAGGGGCACAAGGGTAGGGTCCTAACCCAATAGGATCAGTGGCCTTATAAGAAGAGGATGAGACCTGAAAGTTCTCTCTGACTCTCTCCATACACACTCAGAGGAAAGGTGTCACATTGAAGACATAGCCATCTACAAGCTGGGATGTGAAGCCTTGCTGGGAAGTCAGTGGGCTGGCACCTTGATCTCAGACTTTCAGCCCCACTGTGGGAAACACATTACTACTGTTCAAATCTTCATGTCTGTGCTATTTTGCAGCCTAAGCAGACTAAGATAGGACTCATGGCCTTTAGTTGGCCGGTCATTGCTTGGGTCAACTGTGTGCAGATTTGGTACATGATCTGTAGGAGAATCTCTGCTGAGGCAATCCATGATTCACAGCACTGCAGGAGCTGGGTGGCCACTGCAGATTCATCAGTGGTCTGGTCATTGCCATAGGTTCCACAGTTAGTGTTCAGCAGTGTTCCATTGGTCTGTGCGGTTGCCTCACCCCAATTTTTCTAGTTCACATGCACCCAGCTTGGCTCCCTGGAGGTGGGACAGGAGCCATGCCAGCAGTAGGGCACCAAGTACATCTCTGTTTCTCTCCTACTTCCCAGCCTGCTACCTGAAAAGAATGCACAAAACCAGCCACTGGAGAACCAACACATTTCTTAAACTTCCTGACCATCCTTCAATCTAGAGATTCCACAATGAAGTGGAACCATCTGGATTATACAAGTCTGGCCAACCTGTTCACATGACCCAAACATGTGACTCGGACTGAACTTGTTTAGCAAACTGAGCACCCAGCACAGCACTGCAGGGAGAGACTTCTGAAGCCAGAGCCTTGTCCCATAACAGAAAGAAAGCACTTCTGGAAGCCTGCATGCCTGGTAGTGGCCAGCCAGCCTGGAGAGGGGCAGAGACACTAGATGCTGAAACAGACCTGGGGTCAGTTTCTCCTCCTGCTCCAGAAATGAGACTGGTCAGAGTATGGGAACAACTATTCAGAACCAGAAGACCCAAGCTACTGGTTTTGTCCAGGTGCAAACCCTGCTAGTTGTGCCATGCCACCATTGAGCCACTAGATCCTTGTCAAATCCACTTCCTCAGACTAAAAGTAATCACTCACATATAAACAAGTGTGAATGTATTTTTAACTTGAAAGCCTCAGAAAACCCGCCTTCATGTTGGGTTTCTGGGCTCTCTCTCCAAGTCACAAGTAGATCACAACAACTACTGCAACTGCTTGGAACTTTTCACCACAGACAGGAGACTGTGACGCAGGGTGACATCTGATTGTGGGTGCCAAAGTGACTTTGCATCCAAAGATTAGAAGCTTTAACTGCCTTGTGGTTGCAGAAGGCAAGAGAGGGCAGAACTTTAAAGAGAGCAAGAGCTTAACGATTCAAGGTGCATCGTTCCAGAAAGGCGGTGCATGTGGGGTCATCCATGTGATTTCTGCTGAAACGTTAGCCAACGGAAACCAAGGAAGCCCGCCAGCCAGCCAAGCTGGTGGCAGCTTCCCTGTGAGGTTGGTATTTCACCCCCCAGATTGAAAGATGAGAAGGAAGAGAAACTGACTAACTGTCACCAATCTGAAGGAGTTGGAGGGCTAGCAGCATAGTGACATTATATAAAAAGGGTCTTTTCTTTTAAAGATGTATGTAGAGCAGATGATTTCTAGGCAACTGCTTATGGTTAATAAAATAACACTATGTTCCTGCTGAAATGCTCTTTTCCTAACTTTTTTAAAACAAGGAATTAGACACCTATACCCTCTTCTTTGAGAAGAGACTATCATTCCATGAAAGTAAGATTAAGCAAAAAAGATTTGCATTAAGAGGCCATTTTCCACTTTTCAGTAGTCTGCATCACCATCAGGTAAGGGTAGGAATAATCAGAAAAATTCATGGGGTAAAGAGATAGAGATGAGAGCTAAGTATGTTCTCAAAATCAAGTAGCTTAGAGGTAGTTAAGTGACAGAAGCATTCTGCTCAGAAGCAAAATGAAGGCTGCCTGACTCTTAGGCTCTGCTAAGGCCCTGATCTCATGTGTTCAGGTCTGAAAAAGTAAAGGAAGTTCATTCTGGACTAACAAGAAAGAAGCAGGCCCAGGACGGCAGAACCTTGGCCTTCCAACTTCAAATCCATTCATAGACTTCTCCCTCTGCCACTGGGGCTTCCTTGACCTTGGCCTTGGGCCCCTAACTGAGCGTAACTGCTCTGCTATTGGGTAGGAAGGAGAATTCCTCTCACGGTGCCAATCTTGCCCCCTTCTCTCCCTGTGGAGAGTGCAGAGAGGGAGCGAGACCCAGCCTGCCCAGAGATGGAGTTTTGAGATGTGAGGTAATGTTGGTTCCCTGGCTATGGCTGAAACCAGAGGGAGCTTGGCAGAGGCCATGGGGAGGGGAGTGCCGGCTTGGAGATTTTCTTTATGTTTGGCCTGGTTGTGGTCCAATCTTAAACTCTAATGAAAACTTTAGGAATGTTACATGACCAGAGCGTGCATGTGTGTGTTTTGGGGTAAAAGTGAGAGGTGGGAGGTGGCCACCAGCCATGAGGAGCAGCCAAGCTAATCTGTGATAGCTTAACTACAGCATTCAACTCTTATCAGCACCACTAAGGGATGGGGGATCCTTACCTGCCCAATTCCCAGATTCTGTGTTCCAGCCACACACCTGTCCCACACACAGGATCCAGTCACTTACTAACACCATTGCCAGCCTGAGCTCAGTCTCTGATTCTGCGACCCTCACCATCTCCAGCTGTCACTTAGAAGTCTGAATCGGGTGTCAGGCAGCCACTTTCCGTTCAGAGCGCAGACAATGGCAAATGTGATTTTTAAATGTTAAAGTCACCCAGGCTTCCAAGATGGATTTGGGAAATCATGAATGCTGAGTGGCTCAGTGCACTCTGGTTCTGTCTTTTTCAAAGGGCCTTTCGGATTCCCAGCAACTGCAACCGCCTGTGTGGTGAGTGAGTGTGTGTATACCCAAGCATATGTTTGCAAAGCAGATGAAACATTTGCGTATAATAACATTTTCACGGTAGTTAGTATCAACAGGGAGAAACTTATCTTCCACAAGGGATTAGAAGTGGCTTTCCGTGGGTGTCTGTGAAGTGACAGATTGGGCAGTTCTTAGGGGAAAAACAAAAAGCTTGAAGGGAAAAACCCTACAGGCAATCATATTTTGACCTTGAGAGGAAAAAATAGATGCAAGTTTGCACATAAAAAATTAACTGTTCCAAAGTTTACACTCAGAAAAACCTTAGTTGCTTGCTCATAAATAAATTGAGAATAGAATTGTTGATTACTGAGGTTAATGTTCTTTTCCTAAAGTGAAAATATTGTATATAATTAGATTAAGAAGAGATCTCAAAAGAAAGGGTGATGATTTGAATCATCAGGAGTCAACAAAGGGACATTCTGATTTTATTAGCTAGCTATTAGAGCCGTCTTTGGCATTTTATGTGTGATGCATGGCGTCAGGATGTTGCTGCTCAAAGTCATTTGTGTCCCCTGTCTGGGCTAATTGAGTGACAATAATAAAATGCTGTTTTTAGATAAACAATGGGTGGCGGAGCTCCATCCCAGGGAGCGTGTTGATGCCTTTCAAAGAGGGACTGGCTGAGCTCACATGCCACAAGCCTTTCAGAGGAGAGTTTAAATCAAGTGAATTGAACGCAGTTTTGAAATGGAAATCAGCGAGCCCAGTTTGGTGCGGGCTTCTTGTCAATAGGAAGCCAGAGGCTCCGACTGCCAGTCTGGTTTTCTCCTACTCTCATTCAAAAGAAGCAGACCCTGAGCCGGGAGAGAGACAGCAAGTTAGAGAGGTAAGGGGATAAAATCTCACATGTCATATGTTTGATGTAGTTTGGGTGCAGAACAAGCTGACATTGGAAATAGCAGCATAAACCCCAGCTGCCTGCTCTCTCTCCCTCCCTTCTACTAGGAGACAAGATGGACCCAAGACAGACGAATAGACAGAGGCCCCAAGGACGGTGTAAGGGGGAATTTGCTGCCTCTCTCAGGCAATAGGAAGGATTAGGTAGGTAGAAAATAGTAGGTAGAAAATCCTCTCTTAGGAACATGAACTTTTACCTATGTCCTCCTTCTCTCCCAAAATGTGTCCTGCCCTCCTCCTCCCTCCAAACCTAGAATAAAGTGTGTCTAGAAGTGAACCTTGACTATGTGTGCAGATTAGGATCTTGGGCTACAGATTGAGACTGAAAGACCCTGGAAGGCTAGTTTTCCTCTCGCCTTATCTGAATGCAACTTCCCAGAACCACCAGGCTTTTGTGGGGCCAAGGATGGGGCTTTGATTAATACCTCCCTCTTTTCAGCTATCAGCCTCCTCCAAACTGGTAGACTCAAACTAGGTAAAAATTATATGCTTGCTTGGCAAACACGGCTTCCCGGTAGCTTTGCTAAGTTCCACAAACTCACTCCTGTGAAATTTTGTTGTCACCATGAACATTCAAAAGTTGGGTATAGTCCATTGACATTTTCATTCAATATCTCTTGCTTGAGACCTGCTGGCATGAGGTCCTGTGCTGGTTGCTAAGGAGATAACCCTTGCAAAAGACCAACAAGTGGAGCTTGAAGCCGTGCAGACTGATAGACAGATAAGTAGAATAAAATGCTGTGGAGAGGCATGTTCAGGTCACCATACGTGGATTCCTCTCTCAGTGTACCCAACTCAGATCAGCCAGTTGTCTTTTAGGGCTTGCAGTGGAGAAAAAATTCTTTGCCCTTTTAGCTTCCTAGGTTCTTCACATGACGCTCTATAAATTGGGCTGAAAAAAAAGACAAATTAACAAGAGAAAAACAGACAGAAGTTTAGGAACATGCACATCTCGCTCACATGTGGTAGTACCCAGAGATAAGTAGAACCCAAAGTGGTTAGAACCTGGCCGATGTGTGACCTTAGGCTAAAACAAAGGAACTGGGATTTAGTACTCCAAGGTAGGTGAGGCAAGCTATGGGAAGTGAGTAGGGCCAGTGTGGTGAGCTAGGTAAGATCTGTTGTGCAGACTTAAGTCAGTGTCTTCTGCATTAACAAGTGCAGTAAACATCCTTCCTTTTCCTGCTATGGGTAAGGGAGAAATCTCCATGAATGGGAATTTCCTTTATAAATGTGAATTCCTTTAAAAAGGGAAAATGTGTGCCCTGTTATTAGAGCTTTTAGTGCATTGGTGGTTCTGTTTTCAATGATCTTCTGTTCAAAATACCCACATAACAAAGAGGCATATTCTAATTCCTCTCAGACTTCTCCTGATACTACTTTGACCTGACTGTCAGGTCACTTCTATCTGCTTCCTTCCTTCCTTGTATCAGTTCATTTTCTGTTGCTATAACAGAATACCCAAAGCTGGGTACTTTAAGGAAAAGAGGCATGGTAAGTGGCATCACAATGGCAGGAGCATGTGTAAGAGTGTTCACACTGTGGGACAGGAAGCCATAGCAACTCAGGGGTCATGCTAACTCTTTATATAAAACCCTGGTCTCAAGAAAACTAAACAGGGTCTCATGAGAACTGCACTAATCCTTTCCAAGAGCAGCTCCCACAGGGACCCAAGTGTCCTGCGTAGAATCCCACCTGTTAAAGGTCTCCCTGTCTCTTCATACTGTTGCACTAGGGACTGGCACCCAGTCCGTAAACACTTAGGGAACAAACCTCATCCACACCTATGCTAGGGACGGTGCCTGGGCCCATCATGACTGCAAACACAGTCTTTTCTGTCCATTCCTCTGATCCAAACCACAGTGACAGGTTAAAAACCACCCTTTAAACAACCCGCAGCTGTCTTTTGTGTCCTGCCCATCTGGAGCACAACCAGGACAAGCTGCTACCAGACTTCATCTTCCCTTCCAAGTGCCTCCCGACTCTTCCTCATCTTGGACACGTTTTAGTAATTTTTCACAAAGTACCTGTGATGACTAATCTCATGTGTCCACTTGGCTGGCTGTTGTACCCAGTCGTTTGGTCAAACATCAGTCTAGATGCTGCTGTGAAGGTATTTTTAGATGTGATTAACATTTAACATCAAGAGACCTTGAGTGAAGCAGCTTGCCTTCCATTATATGGATGGGCTGAGAGGGCAGAGCATTAGGCCCAAGATGATTAATCTCAAGCTTTAAAATCTAACCAGATTTATCCTGCTGCGTTTTGAATTTGCTTGAGACTTTTGACCTCTTTCCCCACAAGTTTCTCCCTCTTGCGCTGGGAATGTCTCCCTTATGCCTGACCCACCATTGTATTCTTGGAAGTGGTTAACTTGCTCTCTGGTTTCTCAGGCTCACAACTAGAGAAGACTGTTGCCCTAGACTGGATCACACTCCGAGTGTGTAGATGGTATTTAGATGAAGCTAATACTAAAACAGTGAAGACTTTCGAGGTGTTGGGATTGGTTGACTGCTTTTTTCAGGTGAAAAGGATATAAATGTGGAGGCTCTAGAATGTGGACTGTGATGGGTTGAATTGGGTCCCCACCCTCCAAATTCATGCAGGATGTTTAAGTTTTAACATCCAGCACCTACGCGATGTGACTATATTTGGATACAGCGTTGTTACAGATGGAATCATGAGTTAAGATGAGGTTAGACTCACTGGGGCTCTAATCCAGTATGACCGAGGACCCTCATAAAAAGGAGATTTTGGACATAAACACGCAGGGAAAACAGCATAATGAAGCTTGGAGTCAGGCTGCCGTAAGCCAAGGGGCTGGCAGCAATAGATGCCTCCCTCGGGCCTTCAGAAACCTTACTCACACCTTGATCTTGGGTTTCCAGCCTCTGGAACTCTGTGATAGTTTCTGTTTTTTAAGTCATTGAGTCAGTTATTACTTTCTTATTAGAACCCTAAGAAACTAATGATATCCCTTCCTTCTCACCTCAGCCCTGCACTCCTGCTCAGTCAGTCAGTCCACACTTCGAAGTTCTTCCTGTCAGACACTCTTATGTCACTTGGGGGTGGCAAGGAGGTCCTAACCCTCAGCCCTGTGTCTGTGGGGCTGTCTGGATTCTGTGTCCTACCCCTAGCACAAATATTAGCACATGTAAGATACGGCACTTTGGCTTGGAGTCTGAAAGCACTCTTTCAAAATTAAGCCAAAAATTGTCCAGCGGCTTATGCACATGAGCATCTGAAGTATCTGGGTTACATTCCTTTTTGACATTAATGTAAACAAGTGACAGGAGAGAATGCAGCCTCAGAAGTTACCTTTTGTCTTTACTGAGAAAGTTGGCACCATTAAGATTTAGGTCACTTCACAGGTGAAGTGCCTCTTAGATTAACTAACTCTAAAAAGAAAGACCCAGTTTATTTTTTTCAAATTTTGGTGAATTGGGAATATAGAACACAATAAGAAACAGCAGTTTAGAAGTTTAGGACTCAGGTTTCAATTGTGACTAAATCTCTAATGAGCTGAATGAACTTTGATAAATAGCTTATCAAGCACTTTGAATATAGTTTTTCTCATCTATAAGTGAAAGTAAAACTTCCTGTTTTGGGCATTTGGGACTTTCCTAAAAGGAAAGTTCCTTACTTTCTCAGCCCACTGACTCCAGGAAGGGAGGAATATTTTAACATGAAAAATTCAAATTGTCCTGCAAGAAGCCGTCATTACTAGCATGAGAAAGATTTGCCTTAAAGATTCTCCACTCTGAAGAAAGTGAATTGAAGAATGTGAAGGGATGCAGGGAGTAGCTTCTGGTCTGCTTGGGGGACCAGGAATGACTGCTTTTCCTAGGAATCATGTTTGGGAGGACCTTGAGCTAATCAATGTGGAGGGTCTTTTTGAAGAAGAACACATAAATACAAATATCAAGGGAGATGCAGGCTTGGAAGAAGCTTAGGTTAGAGATAGGCCCTGAAGCATGAATTTTTAGCTTCAGGACAAAGCCAACTATGTATGTTTGGGATAGAAGGAGAGTAGAACCAGGACCTTGGGCAGAGGAATGAAGAGGAAAAAGAGGGAAATTCAAAGAATAATAACAGAAGGTTCTGGAATATCCTCCTGAAGATGAATCAGTGTGAATGGAGTATAAATAAATATCTGTACTCAAAATGTCTGTGAGTGACTCCTACCTGACTAAATTTCTTTAAAAAACAAATTAAAACTTCATTTCCCCTCTTAACTGACTGAATCTGAATGCATGTTCAGATCTGAAAATCCTCTGTTTATGGATCCTATTTTGTTTTTGTTTTTGTTTTTCCTTAATATGATAGGAAGGATGAATTTTTTGTTTTGAAACTTCCATGTGTGGTCTGAGCCTAGCTTCCATTTGTGGATCATTCCCAGTGGTCATACTGAAGTCAGGCAGGCCACCAAAAGCCTCTGAAGAGGATTATAACACACTACTCAAAATACAGCACCTTGACATTTGAGAAAACAGCAGAAGCAGGAAGGTCCTTCTTACCTCCTTGTACCCTGAAGCAGGTGTACAACCCACAACTGAGAGGTAATTTCTCTATGCCTGGAGAAAAGAAGACAAAAATGCAGAGTTGTCAAGAGGGATCTGAACAAATGGGCTCTGCTAGGTTTTATTGGCATTAGACCATGCCCCCACTACAGTTTTCTGTGTCATGTACAATTATATTAACTAATGTGTACGCTTTTCTCTTGTTCATCTGTCTTGTGTTATAGGGGCTTCAGCCTTGGAACCCTTGAGAAAAACATACATTTCCTCCCCTACACCACTGTGCCAACGCCTGAGGGCAGTTTCCTACCAGAGGAAGGAGCAATGCCCGAAGAACTTGACCCGGTAACAAAACCATGGATTTGGGAAGACAGGATCAATTCACACACGCCACCAGCATATATTCACTGACCTCTGCCAAAGCCCACAATCAGGTCTGAAGCCTTTGAGGCCAAATGTGTTTCAGAATTCAAAATTTTTCATATTTTTAGAAAGGCATATGGGGCCTGGCACACACCTGTAATTCCAGCACTAGGGAGGCGGAGGTGGGAGGATAGCTGAGGTGGGAGTTCAAGACCAGCCTGGCCTACGTAGAGAGTTCAAGTCTAACCTGGACTACATAGCAAGACCCTGTCTCAAAAACCAACCAAACGTAACAGACATATGAGGTAGAAAGCAAACCCTATAAAAGGCCCCAGGAGGGTTTGAGGCCACACCTTGACAATCAAACATTATTTCCTGCTTTAGTGAAATATAGAAATATTCATACTAAATGGGATAAATGGAACCTTATTTCATGTCATATTTTGCCACATGGTTATAAAAGTCCTTGTATTTTCAGGGCCATTTGGATTTTAGAATTATAGGTAGGGGATGTGGGCCTAAGCCAGGTGCCAAGCATAGATCCCTGTGGGACCTAGTAGTTTCCGGATGTGACCCCATAGGATGCAGGTGTAAGCTTCACAGGGAAAAGAGAGATTTAAAATTTTTGTTGTACATATTTGTAGGATAGGATGGCATATTTTGATAAATGTATATACTGTGCAATATTTAAATGAGGGTAAAATGTCTGTCTTCTTGAATGTTTATCATTTCTTTATGTGGAAGCATTCAGACTTCTTTCTTCTAACTTGTTGAAATATACGGTGGATTCCTGTTCCCTATAGTCACCCTACTGCGCAAAATCACCCCAGAACTTCCTGCTCCTTCCTAACTCTTAGTTCCCATTGATCAGCTTCTCCCCATCCCTTCTCCTTCCTCTCTCCAGCCCCTAGTAGCCACCCTTGGATTCTCAACTTCTATGATTTCACTTCTTTAGTTTCCACATCTGAATGAGATCTCCCGGCACTTACCTCTCTGTGCCTGGTTTATTTCACTTGACATTTCCATCCATGTTGTGTCAAAGAAAGTGTATTTTAAAAACAGAACAATAGACACGTTATTCCATTAAAGCCCTAGAGAACACCAGAACATATACTTTTGAATGTTTAGAAAAGAAAATCTCTCCAACAGAAGATGACACAGGGAATAAAGAGGCCCTCCCCAATGGATCCTGTCAACAATAAGAGGCTCAGTGATTCTGATAACCTGAGGGCCACAGGCCTCAGCTCTGGTGGGAAATGTGAGTGTGCAGACAGCCAGATGGGCACAGTTGATGCCACCCGAAAGGTCATAAGCAGACCCAATGTAGGGAACCCTGCGTCTATGGAGTGTTTGCAACTATGTGTGCTGGGATGAGAGTAACAAAGGAGTATTAGATACAGGTAGCCAGAATATTTTGTGTCTGAGAGGGGGGTTGCAGGGACTGTCAACAGAATGTGTGTGTGCATGTGGGTGTGCTTGCATATATGTGAGGGTATTAGGAGGAGACTTTCCTCTCCCCACTTAGCTGCGAATGCATAGGGGCTTGTGAGTTAACTGACAATAGACTGACAGAAAAAAAGAGAAGGCTTATTTACACAAGTATGTGGAGTTACCGGTGTTACTCATGAAATACCTAGAAGTAAAGGCTTATATACCAACCTAACATTAAGGAGGCAGGAGGATTCTAGGGCTTCAGTGCGAAAGTGTGAGAGGTTCTATGGATCTTTCTTGATGCCAATAGGAATGGGCAAGCAACCTCCTTCCTAGAATTTGCAGAAAACTCCCTCAGAGAGAAGTTAATAACAGCTGTATTTTCAGAAGGCTCTATGGGTCAAATGAGTTAAGTTCAGATAAGATTTGAAATGTTTTCACTTTAAAATAGTATTTTTCTAAAATGATGATCAATACATACTCACAAAATACATCAATATATTAATTTTATATGAATGTATATGTATATTTTTACATACATACACAGGTGCAGTAAATTGAGAGGCATTTTTCTAGTAATCAGTCATGAGCACACTAATTCTGAGGCTGTTTTGCCCTGTTAACTTCCAGGTCCATACTGAATCAGTCTTCAATGGTGTTTGATACCATTTAATGTCATTATTAAAAATAAAAGGTCTCTCTGTGTTCCTTCTCTCCATTTCCTCTGCCCCCTCCCAAGATCCTAGCTTGCTGTCCTGGGGCCTGTAAGTTGGAGACCCCAGAGACCCCCAGGAAGGTGGGAAAGCTCACTTGTGTTGGGTGCTTTGCCGAGGGCCTTCAGTATAATGATAAGGCAGCGCTAGGCTCTCTAGGGCCCACTATGAATCTCAGTGGAAATCAGTGATGTTAGCTCAGACTCTTTGTCCTCTGAGTAGATTTCTCAGCAACACCAGCAATGTGGGGGGAGGATGTTTCAGAACATTCCACATGGACAGGTGCGGGCAAGAGCTAGAGGAATTTGTACTCTCATAGTCTCTGGGATCCCACAGGCTGGGAAACTCAGAGCACAAGCTTCAGGGCAAAGATCTACAGCAGAATCTAAAACCCTCTTTACCTCTTCCTGATTGTGAGGTCCCCATTGACTCCTCACAGTGTTCCCAGAGGTTGTTCTGGTTTTCTTTTTCTTTTTATCCCAGGACCATATCTCCTCCCTCCTGTGTGGAGAGAGCACATGTAGACCTATCCCCAGTGCTCTGTGTCGCAAAGCATCTCAGGTCCAGCATCTCTTGCCCAGCTGTGCAGTGTTTCCCACACCACCCACATGGCTCACCCCACCCCCAGGCTGAGTACACTGGGGCTGTCTGTACTTAGCAGAGATTTCACCAGCAAGGGAAGGACTCTGCCTGGAGGCTGATTCGTCACCAAAGAAAAAGTGAAGACAATTTTGAAGAATGGTTCAATTTAAGAAGGGGAAACTAGCCCTGGTCAAACTTAGGGCCAAGTGCCCCGTGAATGTTTTGGTTCTCCTGGAAGCCTATTTCTGCTACTGTTTATCCAGCATGGAGAGGTGCTTTGAATGGATGTCTTTGCTGACACAGATCCCTTTGCTGTGTGAATAGGGTGATTAAAAAACAATGAAGCTATTACATAAGGAGCAGAGCTGGCTGGAGCCAACAAACCTCGTACTCTAGTTTTACAGAGCTATAATTATGCAAAGTTTTAAAACACAATGATATCTGCTGAAAGGGAACATCTGGGAGGGAACCGAGCCATCCCCATTAGAGGAACCATGCACATCTCTGGGTTGGATGACTCCACGTTAACGGGGTGGCGATTTTTTCAGACGTCACTCAAGTTAACAAATGTGCTGAAAGGTTTAAGCAGAACAAATGTGCGGAGGGGGAAAAACCAGATCAAGAAGAAAGATCTGTTTTATAAGATCAACTACAAATTGGCTGCAGAAAGCATTCCAGGCTGCTGTTAGGAACGCTAATCAAGAAAAATTAACGCTTTATGAGGTTTTTCAATATGAAAATAAAAGCTTTTTCAGTTGCCATTTCATTTCCAAATAAACTCTTTCAACCTCCAGACCCTGTGCGAAAAAGTCGGATGGGATGGGGCAGCCTAGGACAGAAGTCCGAGGGGCTCAGGGTTCCACAGGCGCTGGATGCACCATAAAGATTAGGGGAAATCAGTTGTCAGAAAGAGTGGAGCCTTTCTTCTATAAATAGATTTGGCCCTGATAGTAGTGTTGGACTCTGCTTTGAGAATGATGGTTACAGTATGTTCTTTTCCATAAAGGTCCTAAAACAGAGCATGGTCTTGATATTTGGGGCCCCTGGGTGCTTTTTCAAGATCTACACCCTAAAAAAGTTTACTCCCCCTTTCACTCATGTTAGTGCAGTTTTTTCAGGTAAATAGCTACTCATAAAAGAATAGTTCTATGAACAATAGCAAAACAGACTTAAAAGAATCTCAGCTTCATTAGGAGAATGTTTTAATGGAGTGAGTTTCTTTGGAGGGAAGGAAGGAGAGTGTGGAAGGGGATTGTTTGGTCATGATTCCTCCTCCCCATCTGTTTGTGGGGCATTGCGTGCCGCATCCCAGAGGAGGTGGCACAGGTTATTTGAGTCTACATAGGCTACATAGCAGGCCAACAATAGGGAGAATATGGAAGGGGAAGATTTTCCAAGTTTTCTCCAACTGCCCTGTCTGGTCTTTTCTAAACTCCCTGTTTCTGTGGGTCCTCTCCTTAGCTTCAGTCCCCTGATTGTCCCTCTTCTAGTTTGCCTTCTACTTATGGACCCCAAAATCTACAGGCCAAGCACATGCTAGTTTTCACTTACTCCAAGTGGTGGAAAGTTTAAATCAATGGATCAGGTTTCTCATAGGTATTTGCATCATAATTTTTGTAAAAGCAATGTTATAACAGCATAAAAGCAGTTACCAATTAACCTACCATCTTAATATCTTTATTTTTTTTTCAGTACTGGAGATAAAACCCAGGGCCTTCATGCTGGCTGTATCCCCAACCCATGCACTTAAAAAAATTTTTTGAGACAAGCTCTAAGTTGCTAAGTTGCCCAAGCTGGGCTGGAATTTGTAATCCTTCTGTCTCAGCCTCCTACTGTTGTGGGATTACAGGCATGTCCCACCAGGCCTGGTTCCAGTTGTCACTTGATCTAGTCTTGAGCCTGTTTGTCTTCTGGGCTTCCACCTATCTTTTCTATTCTGCTGTGTTAGATAGTTTTCTGTTCCTTAGTTTTACCTTAAAGGGAATACCCGATACCACCATCAATGTGTGTGTTACTTTCACTTTGTGTGAAAGATCTCATGAGAAATCTTGGATTCAGCACATAGTCTTATAGACTGAATTGTGTCCTCTGCCCCAAATTCATATATTGAAGCCTCAGCCCCTTATCTCTAATTGGAGATAAGAATGTTAAAGAGGTAATTAAGGTTAAGTGAGGTCATAAGAGTGGGGCCTTGATCCTGTAGGACTGTGTCCTGTGTTTCTATAATAAGAAGAGACACCAGATCTCTCTCTCCCC